CCTCAGAGTTCGTCTTCAGCTCTACAGGACAGAGAAGATGGGCTGGGGCGTTCGAGCCCTGCAGGATATTCCTCAGGGAAGCTTCATCTGCGAGTAAGAAAATCCGGTCCACACAGCAGGTTGCTTTTATATGAGAAATCAGAGGCTGAAAATGAATTCCTCTTACCATGCAGATATGTTGGGGAGCTGATCTCAGACGCAGAGGCAGATGTTAGAGAAGATGACTCTTACCTGTTCGACTTGGACAACAAGGTAACCCTTTTTTAAAATGCCTTAAATTGTTCAGTCTCCGTCTATAGAAAAGCCAAACAGAGGACCATAGTAGAAAACATTTAGCGAGAGAATATGGCATATTTCCTCTGTAAGCAGTAATAAATAACTAGCCAGAGAAGAGCACATGTAGTCAGAACACAGAACTGCTAAGCTAGACAACATCCGCCAATTTATTAACTTAGTGTATTTTTAATGCTCAACTTTCAATCGGATGATAATAAAAGTCTTCTCTGTTGTGTTACTTAAGACATATATAAAATTTGAAAAAAGTAAAAAATTACACACAGTTTGTCTGAATAGGAATAGGTTTCTAACAGGCTCTGTAATTTTCTGCCATCTGTGCAGGATGGGGAGGTGTATTGCATTGATGCCCGGTACTATGGGAACATCAGTCGCTTCATCAACCACCTGTGTGACCCTAACCTCATCCCAGTACGTGTGTTCATGCTGCACCAGGACCTGAGATTCCCCCGCATTGCCTTCTTCAGCTCCAGAGACATCCTTAGTGGTCAAGAGCTCGGGTGAGAAGTTAGGATGTTTGTGATCACATGCTTTCTTACATCTAAACTTCCATTCTAGATTTTGTGTAAGTCTTTTTATCTATTTTGCATTGAATCTTGGAATCTTAATCACCTTGTTTTGGGGAGAATTTTTTGTAAGCATTTGTCTCCCTAAAGCCGCATCATACTGGAACTTTGATTCTACAAATAATTTTAACTTGACTTTCCTTGTTTGTGTCATTAGGTTTGACTATGGTGATCGGTTCTGGGACATTAAAAGCAAGTACTTCACCTGTCAGTGTGGATCGGAGAAATGCAAGCATTCGGCTGAGGCCATCGCCTTGGAGCAGAGCAGGTTGGCTCGGCTGGAGGCCTGCCCAGAGTCCGGGGCGGACTGTGGGATAACCATACAAGGAAACTCTTAAAACACTTAACCATGGAGCCTTTGGATTAACCCTTCCACATTTACGTTTACACATCAATAATGGAAATGGACAGTGAGGGTTTTGTCATGTTTAAAATAAAGTGTTGATGTATGTATGATGCAGATTTTTTGCCCCCAGACACGTCACCCAGTTTGCTACCTTTATAGTTTATAATTTCCTCTGTGACAGAGGATATGGGCCTTGAAATACCTGTAAACCATTTGGGTATTAAAAATGAGAGATCTTGTGATTTTGTACAGTATTTTTACTGTATCTCACTATGTACGTTTGCCTTGACACATGAAGTTTTGTGCATTAGCAATCTGCTCTCATGTAACAGTCGTATGTGTTTTCTGTTGTGCCAACAGACACAATGCCTTTGACACCGTACAGTAATGGTTCAGGCTCCAGCCCCTGCTGTACTCACTACGGACCTGAGAGCCAGTGTTGTCTGCATAAGTGTGTTAGCTTTAATTTTTTTATTTTTATATGTATTGTTTTCTCTGCCTCTTGGTGTAAGAAATTAGCTCATGAGTTGATCTTTGGGCTTTTGTATGAAATGTGGCATTTTCTTCTTTTTAAATCTGTGCTTACTGATGACATGATGTGATTGATCTTGTTTGGGAACATATCTATTTCTTTTTCCTGACAAATAGCTGACAAACATTTTTAATGCAATATAAACTCGGCTCAGCCTTGATTTTCAGTATATAGTATTTAGATTAGCATGCACCGAGCGAGATGTGATGTATTGTGGATTCCTCAAGTGTTTACCTTTTGTAGGCAGCAATGCAAAGTGAGAGGAGAGATTGGACAGGATGCTGTGTTAGGGACAGCCAGAGATTAAATGAAAGTGAGATGTCTCACTCTGCCACTGATTCTGTACATCACAAATGTCTCCTCGAAAAGATGATTTTGTTGGACACATTTCCCTGAAAGCTTTTGACTCGAGGAGACATTTGGATACAGGAATTTTATTTGTAGCATTATTTTTATATCGTGTGTTTGTATAATACTAGTACATAGTATTGCTGCTTTTACACAAGCCGAGTAAACGAGCTAATTACGTCCACCACTGTTGAGCAAAAGGTTCTATGAGGAGTGATTCCTCTATAATAAACGATCTTTGGCAGACTGCGCAGGTGCGCATCCCTCAGCAGGTGCGTGGCGTCAGTGCTTAGTTACCACACCTGCCAGGAAGAAAAAGATTTCCTAACTTGGTTACCACATTCACCCAGAGACGGAGGAACTCGTTTTAAACGTGATTTTAGAGGTTGTTTGTAACGTTTTAAGTTTACGTTTTGTGGAGGACTTGGTGGTTTAGAAGCTGAGGGTGAAAAGGCAGAGGTGAAGGCGGGAAATGGGTAAGAAAGAGGAGAAGAACCCGGAGAGTGAGTATGGTGAGTTGTTAACATCCGTTTCCTCAGAGGACTGTTTTTGACGGTAAAATAATGGTTGAATTGCAAATAAACTAACTTCAGCAGACGAGTTTACATATTTTTGACCATATTTAATTTTCCCGGATGTCATATCAAAGTTTCTCCTGGATTTGACAAGAAAAGTTATACGCATTTTTTAAAACTAGGTTAATGTTAACTTCATAGGACTTTTTAGATCCATAGTGTTTGCGTCCGTTTTGTTCGTTGTACTTAAATGCAGCTTCTAGTTTTTGGGAAAACTGCAAACAAGAAGAGTTGAAACATTTCCTTATGACCAAATGCAGGCTTGTCTGCCAATATTGCCATCAATAAACATGGTGTAAAGGTTTACAATAAGCTTGCTTATCAAGTAATGTCTGTCTAATTATAGGTTAGCCAATACACCCAAGACACTTGTTCTAAAGAAAAATAAACAGGCATCTTTGAGTTGACTGCAAATCTCATGTAATGTATATAGGAAGTCTCAGTGGTCACCACTTAAATGAATTGGGTCAAGGTAGGAAGTTTTTTTTTTTTGTTTTTTTTTTTTTTTATGCCTTCACTCTCTCAGGTCTCTACAATCCTTCAAATAAGACAAATATGAAAAGAAAACAATCACCTATTTGTTTAAATGTTCACAATTAATTTCCAAACTTGATGTCATAACTTGTGAGGAGGGGTGTCACACATCAGTAGATACAATAATTCATTGATTAGTCTTTTTGAGGCGGAAATGTTGTTGGACATTTGTTTTACATATTTATCAAACCAAATTTTTAGCAGCCTATTATTAATACCCATTTTTCAGGTTGCAACTAACTTATTTTCAGTATCACTTAGTCCACTTGTTTTCTTGATTAATCTAGTTGTGGTTTAGTCTATAAAGTGACATCTGTAGTTTCTAAAGAGTCAAAGGTGATGCCTTTTAAAACTTGTGTTGGCCCGATCCAGTAGTCCAGACCTGTGTGTTAATTACTTGGAGTGCAGGACACATAGAGCTATTTGATGAGACAATGTTAAAACAATTGCGGTCTTAAGGATTTTGACACAAGAGTCCATGTAAAGGACCGGGGCCACATGAGGGATGTCACAGCTCTGACAATTTCTGCCAAATTAGGGAATGGTGTCACTATGTAGACCAAAGTGACACAGAGTGAGCCTCGTGGGCTGTTGATAATCCAAGATTTTAACAAGAGTGATAGATTGTAGTTGTTCAGACCATCATGTGGCAGTTTTCCGCTGTGTTTGCGTGTATCAGATCTCTTTCCTGAGTCCCTTTTGACTCTGTGTTATTTAATGTATTGATGGAGTTTCAAGTCTATTGACAGTCTGGGAGGTTTTGTAAGGCTACAGTAAGGCTACAGTAAACAAACCCTCCCTGGATGTAAATATCCCATTGGATTTCATATCTCCTCACCAAAGCAAGCACAAGTGTCAAAACTGACAGTTTACCATTGTATGATGTGACCGCTGATGCTCTGTTCTCAAAAACTGTCAATTAATGTTCTTCTTAAACACATCAGTGTTTTCTAATCGGAAATACGCTTCCTGCTGTGTCCCTGCTGTTCACCCCAAGCTTCACTAGGAAGTCGCCGCTTTTGGATGTTGACAGGCCTTCCTGATTTATGACCATAGTGAGACGTTTCAGGGTGCTACTTGTTCTCTAGTACGTTTTTCTTTTTTGGAGTCGTTTCATTTGCAACATTTTTTCCTGTTGTGAATGTGCAGACAGAGTATGGGGAAATAAGTCTGCTTGTAACGGTTGCTGCAAATCACTGACCACAAAATGTGTTAAAGGTGCTTGAAGCTATAATCACAAGCTATAGCTAATGTATTAAATTAGAGATCCAGTGATGGGCTTCATTTTAAAAAACTATCTATCTATTTCTGAAAGAGACTTAAAGTCCTCGCATAGAAACATAATATAACATATTTTGAAGAGGTTGAATTAGTTTGAAATAAACATGGTGGACATATTTTGGAACAACAAACTCAATTTTCAAATAAACATGGTGAACATATTTTGGAACAACAAACTCAATTTAATGAATGACATTTGTTGTGTGTTAGAGCAGAGGTGAAGCATTGATTTGATTAGCCAACTAGCAAAAATATTAATCAGTATTTGGTAATCAATAGCTGTTAACACTTGTATGTCCTGCTGGTCTCGGCTTTAGTGGAAAGATTTAATGCCTTTCTTTAGTGAACAAAATGAGCAGTAAGAAGACATTTTGAGATGTAAAATGAGCATTTTTATTGGCTAAAGTGTAAAAAATTTAGTTACGCCCCTATTATGTATTACAGCTGAAATGGTCACTTGTGTAACAGGAAACTATTTTGATCATTTATTAATCGATTAAATGGTTTCTTTTTTCTTAGTAATACTTTATTTTACAGACCTGTTAATTCCCATTTATTTCTAAATTCCTCAGTTTATTGTAAGGAGCCATATCATATGGTACTGACAACAGGTACAGTCAGTGATCAGTTGGTACACTTCCACTTATTTCTAAATCCTAAGCTAGCACACACGTAAGGCTTTCGTCAGTGGACAGATGGTCAACTAAACATGCAAATAAATGGTAACCATTAACTGGGGTTTACATTTTTTTCATGGAAATGATCTGGCAGCCAATAATAAACTCAACACAACTCAGTGGGCTAAGGAAAAAAAATCTGTCTTGGAGCTTTGTTTTTGTTTTTCTGTAATTAATGCGAAACTACATGGTTCTTTGCAGCAAACGTTAATAAAGTATTAGGAAATTTTGAAACTGTAAAATAAAGCATTGCCATTTTTAAACAAAACATCCCAAATATTTTGGTTCAGCTTCACAAATTAGAGATTTTACTGCTTTTATCTCGCACCACAGTAAACTGAATATAGTAAATAGTACCACTGCATGCACCAGTCTGATAGCTCAAAGTGTGTATATAATATTTATGAATACTGCTTCTTCTACCTACATGACTAAATGATGATTAAAATAAGCATCTGTTGCAGCCCTACTGTAATTGCTATTGACATGGTTAAACATTTAAGTAATCAGAAGTCAAAACAGTTTCAATGTTCAAACCAAACACACCTTTGAATGACTAAACCTTCTCCTAAGATTTAGCGCTACTTTGAGAAGATGGCGTTCGTTCTGGATCAGTCCCTCCTTTGTATGTGGCCGGCTACCAATTAACTGGGTTGTCTTTTCTTTTTACAGTTGCACAGAGGGTGAGGCCTTTCGCATAAACCATAAACAGAAATGTCTAATCATTCACTCAGTGGCATCTTATGATCCTCACACCTAACATCCTTTTGAATTTTACAAATCCAAATGGTAAAAACGCCCTGCAGTCTTTCTGTCTTGGGTTCAAGCATGTAATGGATTGCTTTAGCTTTCGATGAGTGCATAAAAACAGAAGCCTGGTTGTATGTGTTATAGTGAGCCATTTTTCCATATTGTTTACTCCATATTGAGCGCACAGCTGAAATCTGACACTGGCACCTTTACAAAAGGCAGATGAACAGGTTTCCTTGTTGGAAGCATTTCTTATTACTGGAAGAGTCCTTGTACTGTGTGAGTGAAGGTTTGGGAAACACAAACATAGTGACTGTGGTGTGGTCTGTTTGTTAAATGACATTCTCACACTTATTTAAATATGACTCATCAGATATTCTTATATCATCCTGTTTGAAGATTTGCATCCTACTCAGAACTCCTGACCGTGTTAACACAGTCTCCATCCACTCCTATTCAAATTACAGTGGAAATTATTTAGCTTTAGCTACTATGAGGAATGATCACCACTGGTGAGCTCCCTGGTTAAATGCCCATCCCTGGTTGGCTGATCAAATCAGCAAAGCATATTAATATTTGCGTGGACTGTATCTAATGGGAACCCAACAAATAAACAAAGGAGAACTTTTCATCACGCCAGGCTTTTGCGCACCAAAATGCAGATTTGCTGCTGTGGTAGTTCAATCTTCACCACCTCTGCACCCCATTGGAGGCAGCTTCAGAAAGATTTCTGGTGGTGACATGAGGAAATGGAACAGATTTTGTCCATATTAATAAAATATTCTAAATGTATATGAGAAACTATAGTAATAGTAAAGGAATTTATGCATGTATATCTAGATCAAGAAATAATGATTTGCACAATACAGCACATTTTGTGTTGTATTTTGTTCCAAGATTTGATTTATACAAATACAATATTGACACTCCCAGCTATAGGATAGCTAGGATAATGCAGTGGAAGCTAACTGAAGATCTGACTCCTATAGTAAGAATGTTTTCAGTTGAGACCTGGTCAAACAAGTTTGTTGTCAGTTTTCCCATTATAATGATGATGGTACAAATTTAAATTTCATTCAAATGACCCTGAGCTGCTAGAGTGAATTCTTGGCCTCCGCTCTGATCCTTCTCTTTACTGTCTCCACTGGGACTGAACATAAACTGACTACAATGAATGCACTAGTTTAGAAAGTGGCTTATTGTCTGAGGTAGTGACACCCACTGAAGTTCAATTTGTTCTCACTGGTAACCTTTCTCTCTGTTTCAGGAAGCAACAATGAGGCATTTTAACGCAGTCAACTCTGTTTGAGTGACTACACTGTAATGCACCAGTGAGCAACCAAACTATAAAAATGAGATTTTGTCTTATGTCTAAAGGTTTTTCTTCCTTTCAGTTGCACCAAAATTCATGACCTCAGAGAAGAGGATAGCAAAAACCAACACCTATATCATACAACACCAGCAGTTGCTGGTGTTGTATGATGCATTAGTGGTGTGTAAAGGTCACTGTATAGGTGGCATTCATTCACTTTCGCTTTTGAAGGCCATTTGTGAGACTGAATACACTGGTTTTCTGTGTTACTGTTTTCCTTTCCTAGGAGAACCTGGTCAGTTTGACCCAACCTTCAAAGGACCCATAAAGAAAAGGTGAATCTGGATATTTTGTCTCTGTTAATCCTCAGTAGCTGCAGGGTTTCTGACGTTCTGTGTGTGCAAAGCTGATTTTGTTTGCTGAGTTTCTGTTGACTGATCAGTCACATTTGTTACCCCCAAGACAGACTGCAGTGCAAAGATCAGCCAACTCACTCAAACCTGTTGCTGTCTCTTTCTTCATCAGGGGGTGTACTGATATAATTTGCTGTATCTTGTTTATGGTCGTCATCCTGGGCTACATAGGAGTCGGGATTTTAGGTGAGTGACCTGACAGCACCTACACAGGCCTTTGAACCTGTCCCATACTCCCTGGCATCATAATCGGTCATTAATTTCCACCATCTTGTCATTCTGTTTTGTTCTACTAAATGCATCTGTAGCTTGTTCTTTCTTTTTACTGCTCCTTATGTTAAAGGAATAGTTTAGTGTTTTGGCTTCTCGCGCAGTTGCATGAGAATATTCCTTTTCAGTATGAAGCCTGAGCCAGCAGCTAGTATACTTGGCCTAACAGCTTAAGACAGGAGGAAACAGCTAACCTGGCTCTGTCCAAAGGTAACATAGGTCTGCCTACCATGACCTTATAGCTCACTAATTACCATATTATTGCACTTGTGGATTCGTGGGGATTATGATTGAGACTTTCTTGGTAGAGAGCCCTGACTTCCTGGAGTGCTTCCTGCTTCTCTTCAGAGTGATGACGAGAATCCCGGAGCAAACACTAGGTTTTATGTACTGATTAAACACATGTAGCTTGTTAATGAGAAGGCTTTAGCTAGGAGTTGGACTGGAAACAACTCGGCCTTAAAGGGGCAGGGAGCTGTGTTGGTTGATGAGGTCAACCTCCACAAAGAATACATGAAGTAGGCTCTAACTTTGTTCGGGAGTAATTCTTGTGAATGGTAATAGTGGACCAGGCTTTAGAGGTGCTGGTAAATGGATTTTGAAAGTGGTATCAATGTCCTCTAACTCTCAACAAGGAAGTGTACTGCCCAAAATTTTGAACTCAGCACTACAGTGAAAGGCAGGCCTCTATAAATCTTGCTTTAAGGCTGGTCACTGATGTTTAAAAACACAGTGAAACACACTGCTGCACTGGTTGACATGTTTCCTCATTACAAAACACCAGACTCTTTAGCAATGTTGCCAGAAAGCCTCCGAATGGCCATAACATTTTACAGCATCTGAAGTAAGCAAGAGTCAAAGGCCCATGCATGAGACCTCTGGATGTACTTAACTATTAGGGTCTTGTGTTTCATAATGAGGAAATCTGTCACCAAGTGCAGTGGTGCTTCCTTTTGTTTTTGAACAACAGTGGTGGTCTGTGCCACAGATCAATAAGCTGATCCATTGACAGGCATTAAAGGTAGAGTTGGTGATTCTTTTCAGAAGCATTTTTTGTTTCATATCTTGAAACTCTCTTTTCATCCTGATGGCAATGGATACATTAAATGCACTGACAACAAAGGAAAAAACCTCTGGCAGTAGCAGGGCAAAAAAAAAACCTGACCAATAATTTTATATGGTGCCTTTCATGGAGGTTGTTTTGTATTATTATTATTGTACAAACAGCTGATTTCCATGTTGATATCTGGTCAGGAGTTTATTGCCCTGTCATCAAACTCATTCCAACACTTGGGGCCGTGCTCTTATCTAGAGTCAACAAAGGCCTGATAAGTACTGTGGCCGCCTTGTGTGTCATCGGCTGAATGTGACCTAAATGAGCTGCTGTTGCCTTCAACTCGTGACAGTTCAAAAGTATTTGTTGCCTAAAGTGGATTTAAGTTGAGAAATCTTCTGACCTTTATTGATGCTTTATGGCCTGGATTTATTCCATATTATCATGATAACATATCGCATAGCATTATATGATGTAATGGACAAGGAATTTACCAGCTCTGACGTGTGTGTTTGTGTACGGTACTATAGCTAAGACCAAGAAACAACCCGTTAGTTGTACAGTACAAGACATTTTGCATCACATTGCATTGATTTGGCTGATTCATTTAATTCTTTAGTCCAAAACAACTTAGCAGTAAGTACATTCAAAACAGACTCCCTAGGAACAAGAGCAATGTCATTCAAACTTAATGCACCTCCTCTCGCCGTCTTGTGGCAACAAAGATGGTAATATGAGTAATAGACTGTTAACAGCTATTAAAATGTGTTGCTAGATCTTAATACAGCAGGGACACCATCAAAATACTGAACATTTGTGATCAAAGTATGGTAAAACCTTTGCAGTAGCAACATAGCTGAACTTCTGAATTGGGTTACAGTAACCTGGAATTGTGCTCAAGTCTCCTCAGCCAGTAAATCACTCGCAAGACTTTCATGCCCCCAGACAAGCAAAAATGTACGGTGTTTGTGTTAGGTAAAAGCATGTCCTCTGTCAGTACCAAACACAAGGGAGCAGGTGAACATTACGGGGCGTGACTATTTCGTCATTAATTTGATATCATCTTTTATGTCGCTTTCTCTGCTCTGTTTGTTTCCTCTATCAGCTTGGCTCTATGGAGATCCTAGGCATGTTCTTTATCCAAGAAACTCCACCGGATGGTTCTGTGGCATTGGGCCAAATAAGTAATTTAATAGTTCTCTCACCTTTTCACATCGTTCTACATGTATAGATATAAAAAAAACCAAACAAAATCAGTGTAACCATGTCCATCTGCTTCCTCTCAGAGACCAACCCAATGTGTTCTACCTTGACTTTCTCAAATGTGCCACATCTTTTAATATTATGGCGTCCACGCTTAATGGTTTACAATGTCCAACCACGCAGGTAGGGGAGGCTGGCTGATTTTATAGTTTCTAATGACACCTGACTATTAACTGAAAACCTTGATCCTTTTTTTTTTTTTTCTTCCCCCATAGGTGTGTGTGAACAGTTGTCCCTCAACGTTCTGGGCTGTACAGATAGGGGATTATTTTCCAGGTGTGAAGCCAGCAAATGTTTTCAGTCAGAATCTCTGTGTGCCAACTATAGACCTGGCCACTACCGATCTGGTAAGTCCCATTTTATCACAATGTGTAATCTTTGTATGTCCCCCACAGTGATTACATTTGACTTGGTAAAGACAAAAAAATGTTTTTGACATTAGCACCAGTCAGTCTGCATTCACATGTTTAATTTTTATTTTTTTAACACATAACTGCCTTTTTTTCCAGACTGTTAAAGAAATCGTGGACAGGGAGCTGTGTCCTTATTTCTACCCGCCTACAACCCCTGGTGAATGAATCCGCTCATGACAGTATACTGTGTTCATTTTCATTTTGCTCTAGTAAAGACTGGCTATGACTTTCATGCAGCTGCTCATTTTAATATTGGGATACCCCCCCATTTAATTTACTGTTTATATATGTTAAATGGGGAACTAAGGTAGATTTAACTGCTACTGAACCGGAGATGAACTACTACTTTTTGTTTATTCACATGAATATTTAATTGATTATGGCTTGTGATTCAGAGTATATCTGGGGATAAATGATGATGATTTAATCCATTTCTAGCTGATTTGACTCTTCTCTGCTTTTAGTGCTGGGGAGATGTTTGCCTGATTTCTCCACACTGAGTTCAATTCCTCCAAGCTTCACCAATGTTTCGGGTTTATCAGTCAACACCACTGTCGACATAATAAAGAATGGCACTGGGTAGGATAATGTGGATTTGTACATTATCGTATAGTAAATCACAGATAGCTGCACATGAACAGTAAAAACACACTCTTAACACTGAATCTGTTTCTTTCTCCTCTCCGTCACCAGCACAAGGTTGGTGGCTTTGAGCGCTTTTGTTGACTGTTTGCAGCTGGTTGTCGTCGCTCTTGTTGCTGTGTATGTGTACTATTGTACACAGTAGTCCTAGTTGCCATGTAAAGTGCTCTCTTGGGATTTAGTGTTAAAGCATTCACGTCAGTTTCTCACAATGTGCAGGAAAAACTCCATTCTTTCTCTCCTTCACTGACTGTCTGGGATCCATTTAGCCTTCCTTGTTTTGTATATAAATACATATAGATGCTGTTTTACTGTGCTCAGTATTGAAAGTGGTATTTGATTCACCTTTTCTTTACCACCACATTACTTGTAGTAACTTTCAACAAGCTTGACATAAATAGTTTTTATTTGAATGTTGGTTTTTCCTCATTTCTTTACTGTACCCCACCCTTTGTTGTTCACTTTACTGTCACCAGCACAAACTCTCCTTGATTTTGCCTCTCATTAGGAATATCGTTAATGGCTTCAACGCCAGAGAGATCAGTGTCAGAATCTTTGCGGACTTTGCATCGTCATGGCCGTGGATCCTTGTGTGAGTTGCCTTGCAGAAGTACACCTCCCACTGCCATCTACTGGTAGACACAAGTAGAAATTATGTGATTGTATTGAAAAGTAGAATTCAACTTTTTGTAAATGTGTAGATTCGCTGATGTTGGATTTTAATGTGCAATTCAAACACTTGGTTGTATCAACTAAAGCAGGAATAGTCATGCAGTAATATCAGATGATCTCTTAAACCTCCTCATCTCTGGTTTTAATTTTAATGCATTTTCCATTTATCCACTTAACTTTTTGTTTTCTATAACACCCTGTTCACCTGTCCCATTTCAGTGGTCTGCTAATAGCTATGATGGTCAGTATGCTGTTCCTGTTGCTGCTGAGATTCACTGCTCCAGTCATGGTGTGGGTGCTCATCATTGGACTCCTGGGCACTGGAGCATATGGTAAACACTCAGTCTGAGTAGTTTTGAAGCAAACAGGGTTTTTCATATGTTTAATATTTATTGATGACCCATCCAAACAGACTTCCCACTACAGATAAAAAAAAATTTTCTGCTTGGAAAATCAGTTGAACATGCGGTACAGGCTGCAGGATAAATAAGTTTCCTTAATAGAAGGTGAATCCAAAGTTGTGCTGCAGCTGATGCTCACCACTACAAATTATGTATCTGTGCTCAGGGAAATGCAGGGGAGGATAGATTTTTGTCTGGCTATGCACAGAGCAGATTGACTAGTATGCTGGTTCCTGTTTAAAGGTGGAATCTGAAATGTTATAGTTTTCTTGATTTAATTAGATGTATAGGTTTTTTTGTTTGTTTGTTTTTTAGTAGAGTAGTTGGTGTATCTGTGGGTCATCTTTTCTTTTTTGATTGCAGGGATATGGCATTGCTACTGGGAGTATGCCAACTACAAGAACCTAAACGCTTCCATCAAAAATGTCGGTTTCACCACCAATTTCGCTGTTTATCTGCAAGTCCAAGAGACTTGGCTGGCTTTCTGTGAGTCTGATTCAAGTGCAATTTTAACATCACAGAACTTTAGTCAGTGTGGGGATAATATTTTTTTTTTTAAGTTGGCCTGATGGTCTATTAGCATTTTTCCTGAGATGCCTGTGTAGCAACATGTTCATAGGTCAGCTGGTGGATACAAAGCTCTGTACACTGAAAAAGAAAAATCTCTTGATGCTAGAAGTGAACATAATATTGGATATAATGAAATGGAACAATGAAGCTGTTTCAACAGTGGGGCAAATAAGTATGATACACCGCCGATTTTTCAAGTTTTCCCACTTACAAAGAATGAACAGTTCTGTAATTTTCATCGTAGGTACGCCTCAACTGTGAGACACAATCTACAAAAAAAATCGAGAAAATCACATTGTTAGACTTTTAAATTTCCATTTTATTGCATGAAATAAGTATTTGATACAATAGAAAAATAGAACTTAATATTTGGTACCGAAACCTTTGTTTACAGTTACAGAGGTCAGACGTTTCCTGTAGTTCTTGACCAGGTTTTCACACACTGCAGCAGGGATTTTGGCCCACTCCTCCATACAGGTCTTCTCCAGATCTTTCAGATTTTGGGGCTTGTTGCTGGGCAACATGGAGTTTCAGGTCCCTCTAAGGAGGTTGTTGCCCAAAATCTGGCGATACATGGCCCCATCCATCCTCTCCTCAATACGGTGCAGTCGTCCTGTCCCCTTTGCAGAAGAGCACCCCCAAAGCATGATGTTACCACCCCTGTGCTTCACGGTTGGGATGGTGTTCTTGGGATTGTACTCATCCTTCTTCTTCCTCCAAACACGGTGGGTGTAGTTTATACCAAAAAGTTCTATTTTGGTCTCATCTGACCACATGACCTTCTCCCATGCCTCCTCTGGATCATCCAGATGGTCTTTGACAGACCTGGACATGTGCTGGCTTGAGCAGAGGGACTTTGCGTACGCTGCAGGATTTTAAGCCATGACGGTGTACTCAACTAACATAAGATTCCATTTAAAACATATGAACTACATAATAAAAAGAATAAAACAATAAAATTAAATAACTAAATCAAAATAGCACAAAGTACTATCCAAAACCAGAACCCGAACAGAGTCTCACACCGTATCAAACGCCAAGGCATACAAATGGGTCTTCAAGTAAGTTTTAAAAGTGGCCAATGAGGGGGCCTGCACATTCTATAGCTTAGGAGCCACAACGGAAAATGCTCTGTCCCCTCTAGATTTACGCCTAACCCTTGGTACCCCGAGCAGGAGCTGGTCAGCTGATCTGAGGCACTGAGATGGACTATAGGGAGATAAAAGCTCAACAAGATACGATGGTGCAAGGCCATTTAAAGACTTAAAACCAAATAAAAGAATCTTAAAATGAATCCTAAAGGACACCAGGAGCCAGTGAAGGGATGCCAAAATAGGGGTTATGTGCTCCCTTTTACGCACTCCAACCAAAAGACGGGCAGCCCCATTCTGAACCATTTGGAGACGAGTAGTGTGTTACTGATGGTAACCGTTGAGACTGTGGTCCCAGCTCTCTTCGGGTCATCGACCAGGTCCTCCCGTGTAGTTCTAGGCTGATCCCTCACCTTTTTCAGGATCATTGATACTCCACGAGGCCAGATCTTACATGGAGCCCCAGTCCGAGGGAGATTGACAGCCATCTTGAATTTCTTCCATTTTCTAATAATTGCGCCAACAGTTGTTGCCTTCTCATCAAGCTGTTTGCCTATTGTCCTGTAGCCCATCCCAGCCTTGTGCAGGTCTACAATTTTGTCCCTAGTGTCCTTAGACAGCTCTTTGGTCTTGCCCATAGTGGAACAGGTGTCTCTTATACAGGTAACGAGTTCAAACAGGTGCAATGAGTGGAGGAAAGGAGGGCTTCTTAAAGACAAACTAACAGGTCTGGGAGAGCCAGAATTCTTGCTGCTTGGTAGGTGATCAAATACTTATTTCATGCAATAAAATGGAAATATTTAAAAATCTAACAATGTGATTTACTGGAATTTTTTTGTATTATTTGCCCCACTGTATAGGGTAAGTCCTGTGTTTGTACAGGTAGGGCGCATGTGCAAATGTGTAATAACCAAGTTCAGAGTGTTGACTCTTGAGTATGGGGGGATATATATAATATATATGAATGATGCAGGTGGGGGTGCATGAGAGCATCACTGGCTTTTTATCCCCTCTTTATGTCCCACTTTTCTCATTCGTCTGACCCTCCTCAGTGATAATCATATCTGTGGCAGAGGCGATCATTCTCCTGACCGTTATTTTCCTGCGGACCAGACTCCTCATCGCCATCGCCCTCATCCAGGAGTCCAGCAAGTGAGTCATGATTCCAAAATACAAATACGCTGTCCCCAAGATTCTTAATTCTATTTAACCTGGTGTTAAACCATACTTGTTAAATTTAGATATTCATTTCCACAGAGAATTTATTTAGGGATTTGTTGTTTCTTTTTATGTTAAGAATAAATAACATTGACCCAGATTTTATGATGGTCATACCTTGGTTTGTATCTGACTGAAGATGTTGTACAGCTTTGGTAAAACCTCATGACAAATCTGTCTATATTTCACAGGGCAATCAGTTACATGATGTGCGCTATGCTGTACCCCCTGGTCACGTTTGCTCTCCTGCTGGTGTGTGTTGCTTACTGGGGCGCCACTGCTTTGTATCCTTTAATTTTAAGATAAAACAGGCACTCAGGCTCCTTACTGGGAGCATTGCTGGTTGTATAGCCTGACAGCAGCAGGAAGGGAGGACCTGCGATAAGACTCCATCAGACACTTGTGGTGAAGCATTCTGTCACTAATGGAGCTGCCCAGTGCTGTCAGTCTCATGCATGGGATGGGAGTCATTCTCAAGTGGGGATGTCAGCTTGGCTAACATCCGTCACTCACCACCTGCACTGGGTCAAGGGGACTTCTCAGGACAGAGCTGGCCCTCTTGGCCAGTTTGTGTAGTCTTTTTCAGCCACTCACTGTTGCACACTATCAGTTCTTTTCTTAAACTAGTGTATGCAGATATTTGGCCACGTCAGGGAGGCCAGTCTATAAAGTGGTGGCTCTCAACTCCTCCGCAAGTGGCTGTAATGGTATCAATGGCACCATGAACTGTGACCCTCAGGTAAGTGAGGCTAAAGTGGATGATGTCTATAACCTACAGTAAAACCTTCTCACCTTTTGGCTGCTAGAGGGAAGTTGCTGTTGGCACACAACTGTAATTTAATCACATGTAAATATTTCCGTTTTAAAACTGAATTAATAGCCATCAAGATCGAGGTGTGAGTGTCCACTCGCCCTTGAAAGTGATGTAATGACTAGGATGAAATTAATCATGTAGACATTTGACTTTCTTGTTCTCCATCTTCCATTTCCTCCGCTCAGAACTTCACCTCCTCAGATTACCCAGACTGCCCCACAGCTAGCTGCATCTTCATCAACTACAACAACGAGGGTCTCTTCCAGAGGAACCTCTTCAACCTGCAGATCTACAATGTGGTGGCTTTTCTCTGGTGTGTCAACTTTGTCATCGCTCTGGGGCACTGTACGCTCGCGGGGGCCTTTGCCTCCTACTACTGGGCCTTCAGCAAACCAGGCGACATCCCCATGTTCCCTGTGTCTGCCGGCTTTATACGCGCTCTCAGGTAAGTTGGTGAGCTGCCGTCACATACGTTAAATCCCTGCAACGATGAAAGCCTCAAACTGGATCTCCATTGTTTAATTCTCCTAGTGATATGATTAGTGTGTCCAACAGAAGGTTGATACGAAATCTAAACTGCTTTGATAATTTACAGTATGTTGGCCCTGAACTGATATTGAATTAAACTTTATACTTTGTATAAATGCTTTTATAAAAGATAATGCAATTCAAAGTGTCTTACGGATGAGATGGAAAAATGTTTTATAAAAAAAAAAAATGTGTAAACTGGAATAAAATTAAAAGCTAGATCAAATGTATAAGATACAATGACAAGTAAAATATACAAGGTATAATATACAACAATAATAAAAAATTATATGGATTAAAAGATTCTAATCAAAAGCCAAGCCAAAGAGACGTTTTGAGTTTGCATTTAAAAACATCAGTACTTTCAGCTGCTCTCAGATCCTATTTGTTTTATTTTATGCTTTGCTGTGATTGAGCGATATACTGTGTGTGTGTGTGTGTGTGTGTGTGTGTGTGTTACGATTATGCTTACTCATTTTGTTGTGAAGCAATTTGTAACCTTGGGTTTTTAAAAGGGCCATAGAAATAAATTAGCTTTGCTTAAAGTTCAGTTCTGAATCAAAAATGATACCCCTGCTTCTGGCTCATGGGCTCAGGGTCAGTCCTGGCCATTTTTCTGCTTGTTTTCCAACTATCCCTGCCTGACCTGCTGGAAGATACCAGTTCACTTTCCTCACTCCACTTTCTGGCTGAACACACCTGAGCCAGGTAATCAGCAGCAGGTCAAGCAGGGATAGTTGGGAAAACAAGCAGGACAGTGGCCCTCGAGGACTGGAATTGGCCACCCCTGCTATAGAAGATACTAGCAGACTGTAGTTCTCTCTTTGACCACTAGAGGGGACAGTACACCTACGCATAGCAGACCTCTGCAATTGCACAATGCATGCTTTTAATGGATATTAAAATTTATTAGATTTATGGAGTTCATTTGCCACTGTCGCATAGTTTTTGTTTACGTTGCTGTAGAGAGCCACTCTATCGTGAGAATATGATCTGTTGCTGGGAAATCGGTGTAGGGTAGAAGAATCAGTGTGCTACTCTATTTATTCTTTAGTCAGCGAGGTACTTAAACAGCCGGTGAAATGTTATCATTTTTATATCTCAGGTACCATGTGGGCTCCTTGGCTTTTGGTGCTTTGATCCTGACCCTGGTGCAGATAGCGAGGATGATCCTGGAGTACATTGACCACAAAACAAAAGGTAGGACTGACAAGGATATGACAGTATGCCACCCTAAAGGACTCTGGACATTTTTCATTTGCATGGCTTATTTATGTAACTTAAGGTGTAAATAGAACAAGTCATAATCAAACAGCCTTTAGTCTTAGTTTTCATATAAATGCCAGGGCACTGTTGTATTTCTATAGGCTTTAGATTGAACCCATCCACAGCTTTTTCTCTACCTGCAGTTCTATTTTCAGTGTATAAGTGAATGAATACTAAAGATATGCAGGACTCTCGCATGCTGAAACAAGTCTGTTTTAATGAGACGCTCTTGGAATTCAAATGGTGTCAGACAAATCACAGGATAGTCACACTTGTTTCGGTTTCTTTCCTCAAGCGGCGCAGAATGCAGTTGCCCGTTTCATAATGTGTTGCCTGAAGTGCTGCTTGTGGTGTCTGGAGAAGTTCATCAAGTTCCTCAACAGGAATGCTTACATCATGGTGAGCACAGTTGTATTACTGTGGAGGTTTTGGTCCCTTCTACCTTAATTTGCTTTACTATTGTATTGATAGTACTAATGATGATGAAAGTACTGTTAAAACTGAAACATACTGTACTCAAGCATGACTAATCTCTGAGAAGCCTACACATCATGACAAACATTTAATTAATTACATGACAATACTTGATTTGACCATCATATTTACACAAAGCCACCATCACTGATCTTTAACTGTTTCTTATGCAGTGCACCATTCCTAAAACCAAATGATGTTTCCTTTCCTTGACAGATTGCCATTTATGGGAAAAACTTTTGTGTCTCAGCCAAAAATGCCTTCAAGCTGCTGATGAGAAATATAATCAGGTTTGTGCTGAAGCTGTTTCCTGTGCTACAGTAAAGGAGCCTGTGTTTTCATTGCCACATGCTGTCTGTGTAATGTTCTGCCCATAACATGAATACATTTCCATGTGTTCGGGAGACTCGGTGACTAGTGCCATGTTTCTCTGACTCGCAGGGTTGTGGTGCTCGATAAAGTGACGGATTTGCTGCTGTTCTTTGGGAAGCTCCTGGTGGTTGGAGGAGTAGGTAAGGAGACGATGCTTAAAGAATAAGGCCAGTAGCAAGATCTTCTTGAAATAAGTTAAATTAAAATCTGAGAACATTTTCTAATTGGGGGGGGAGGGATGTAGTCTTTAAAGTTGTTTAGCCGACACCCACTGTATTTTTTTTTTTTTAATATGTTGGCAATGAAAACTTCACTGATCATAGTCGCATTGGGTTTGTAGCCCCAAATTTATTAGTTACAATAATGATGATAATCAAAAATATTAATTGCAATGCATCAGGGAGGAGGACTGATGATGATGAACTCTCTTTCTCTAGGTGTTCTGTCCTTCTTTTTCTTCTCTGGACGTATACAACTGCCGGGCGACATCTTCCGCTCGCAAAGCCTCAACTACTACTGGATGCCAATTATTGTGAGTCACAAACGTCCTGTTCTGCCTTTTGATAGTTGATAGTTGTTCAGATTCATTGATTTAATTGAAATTTGTTTTAAACAATACTGCTTTTAGGTGGTGGTGTTTGGTAGCTACCTCATTGCTCATGGATTCTTCAGCGTGTACAACATGTGTGTCGATACACTCTTCCTCTGCTTCTGTGAGTAGTTTACTGAATGTTTTATAAAAGCCTGAACATTCAGTTTAACATGATGTATTTAGACAGACTCACTCAAATAAGACTTGAAACAGTTGCTGTAGACTTACTGCTAGCAATTATATTTCTGAGGGGAAGGGTTGAGGAATATGCAGCTGTTTAACATTTTAACACGTCTGTTTTACATTAAAAATGTAGAAAATTTTAAATTGAATAATACTACAATGCCCATTTCATCACTTGCACACTGTCGTTCCTACAGTGGAGGACTTGGAGCGTAATGATGGATCTGTAGAGAAACCGTACTATATGTCCAAAAACCTCATGAAGATCCTCCACAAATCCAACAAGGCACCAAAAAAAGATAAAGGGAAGGACTGAAGACCCAGATTTTTAGCATATCTTTGTAACTTTTAACACAGTCTTCTTCCAAATGCATTTACTGAGTTGCTGATTTTGCACTTTTAATTTTTTTTTTATTGTGCATATGTAGTATAAATGATTGTACATAAGAACTATAGTGATGATGTAATGTGACATTTAAAGTTACAAGTCATCTGAAATTACACTTTCATTTGTTAGAGTAATACTCAATTTGGCTCATGAAAGTATATTTTTACTTTCATCTTAATATTTATTTCTGTTCACACTGCTGATGTTCAACATTGACACTTCTGCTGTAGATATGGTAACTGATTTATCCTGCAACATTTAATCCAGGTAAAGAGCCTTGAATACAGAAAGATTTAGGCTTTTTCTATTGACAATCTTTTATGAAGGATCTAAAAAAAACGTGTTTACACACGTTTTTTTTTTTTTTTTTTTTTTTTTGGTATCTGTAAAAAGGTGGTTTTATAAATACAAAGGTTGTGGTCATATATTCACATCAAATGATGTAATAAACTTTTAAATGACTATATACATGACCCAGTGTGCCCATCTTCTCTTCTTTGCAGTGCATCTGCAGGTTTGACCATATTTGTTGACAAACCCTTTAACTGTCATCTCCTTTTTTGTCTCTTGTAGAAGTGTTACAAATGGACACTAACACAGCCATTAGCCTGAGTACTTTAGTTTTCTGCTACTTTATACTCCTAGTCCATTACAGTTCACTCACTCTATATTTATGGCCACTGTACTTACCAGTTAATGTGCAGTCTGAGATGAAGAATGTAAAATATGATCTAATTTGATGTATTAAAGGTTAGAATAAGTATTTTCTGAATAAAGTTCTCAAGCTGCCCAGCAGTATGTGGTTAGTCCTACCTTTACCATCTGCAACATTAAAGTGATGGGCAATAAATTAATATATCAAAAACTAAGTGAATAATATGTGAAGTACTTCTACTTTATGGGCTTGAAGCATGTTTTGATGCTACTGTTGTAATTTTACTGAAATATTTTAATACCTTTATAACAATAATTCATGTATAAGGCACCAGACATTGATTGTCCACCAAATTGATGTTTCATAAATCTTTTCTGACTAGTAGTTGAAAAACCAAAGATCCCTTTACATTCTCAAAACAAAAGGCTCTAAATCATCACATTTAAAAAGCTGGAACCAAAAAATGTTACTTTTGCTAGGAAAAAGATGACTTTAATGACAGTTATCCAAGTTATGGCAATTGAGCCTTAAAATGTAAATGATACAAAACAAGTCAACATTTTAATCATGTTTTAATCAGACCAGTCGGTTGTCTCCACATGTATGTCAAAAGACAACTGACTTCCAACACATAAGCATCATAATACAAAGTGTAGCTTGAACAGACAAGTACGCGAGACACGACAAGCTCCAGCCGCCGTCCCATCTGTCCCACAGAGGACCTTCTCTTTCGTCTATGATCCTGCCATGTTAAAAGTGCAAACAACCCGATTCATTCCATCAAGTTTAACACAAGTTAGAGGAGAACACCACCGATCAAAGCCTGTTTACAGGAGCGCTACTGCATATGTGAGCAGTGCTAAATCTGTGAAGGGCAAAACCAGAACATTCTGCAAAGACCAGGCTGAAGCCGGCCATTAGGATGAATGCATGTTACCTTAGCTTTACATTGCTGAACTACTGCTGTTTGTATATTAATGTTTCAGTTACAAAACAGCAAATGAGCTGAATCTTACATCCTCATCACATTAGCAGGGAATCGCAACCTTTCTTTCACTTTAGGAAGAATTATTTTTGAGTTATGAGAACCAGATCGTTTCTCACATTGCAAAAGCATCTCCATGCCTACTCGTACTCCCACCCTGTGGCTGGTCATCCAGTCAGAAACAACGTAAAAACAGTATATACAATATTCATTTATATATAATGTATTCACAGACACAGTCAAGAAAAAAAATGAACAGAAGTGTTTTAGATTTCATAATCACTGGGGCACAGTTCACTGAACTGTTGCTCGTCATTCCTGTAACGTGTTACCGTGCTGACCTCTCCACCTCCGTGACTCGTCATGAGGACGCTCCCCACTTGTTACATTGTCTTGTGTAGCATCTTATGTGGCCTCTACTAGCCAGAGATCACTCTCTCCACACTCTGCTTTGTAACCAACAAGCTGTGTTGCTCATACTAATACGAAAACCTCCCAACCTGGCCCGTGTGTTTCTACAGCAACTAGTGCTTCAATGCAGGCAGACACCCTAACCTTTAGGACAGCTCTGTCTACAAATGACTTCACAGTGCAATGGCAATTTTTTTGTTAAGACAAGTGTATATAAAATGCATCTTTGTGCTATTTTTTAAATCTGTTTAAGTCACAAATTCATTGTTTGTTCATTTCATGAGTAAGCAGGAAACAGGAGAGGTTCAATTACAGTTGTCACGCCCTGACAGCACACACGACTGAGCTGCTACTCTTTGGCCATTTAAAGTTAAAAAAAAAAAAAAGAAGCTGCTACCAAATTCAGTTCTCATACTCTCCTCCCTCCTCCTTTTCCAGAACAAGCCTCCATCTCTTCTGTTTAAGGAATAAACTAGTGACTCCTTGAATAGCGATGAGAAACCCCAACAGAATTAGTCACTGCCTCAAATTAACCTCCACCCACTTTTCTGCTGCAGCTTGAGACCAAAAAAAAACAAAACACAAAGTTCCATTGCTGATCACGTAATACTGACTGTGAACCCCACCAGTGAACCATTTAGACTCTACTGTCCACCTTTATTTTCTGTGTGCATATATCTACAGGTGCATGTAGAGAGGGAGGGCTAATGCGACTTATTGTGGGATCCACACAACTTTCCAGTGTTTCTTACATTAAATCAACCAAGCAGGTAGGTGGGGCTGATTCTGCCTTCGCCAGGAGGAGGAGAAAAGCCAAATTCCTGCATTTCTTGTTTTGGGACTACACACAATGCTCCGCTCTCTCCCAAGTTAGTACCTGCTAGGAAACGTGACATGAGTGTATGACTTAAGTGTGAGGTTTTTTTTTTTGTTTTTTTGTTTTTTGCACTCCTCCCTCCCAGTCATCGATCCACTCGTTTATTGATTCATCCATCCGTTAATCCCGTTGGGTCTCTGTCACACACTCAGCAGCCAGAAAAAGAAGAAGATGGCCACAAACAGGAAGAGGGAGTCTTGCCAGTTGTTGTGGTTACCGTTTCCTTGGTGGTCACCTGCATACTGGTCTAAGGATAGAGGAGGAGGAGGAGGAGGAGGAAAAAAATAAAGGTTATTACATCCAAGTATCAGGGGACAGAGTGTTTTCATCTGTACTCTAATGATGTTGCCTGAAGGCTGTGTTTAAACAGAGCCTTTATTCCACTGATACTTGGAACAACCAACCAGTGTGTTCTAGCATGTGGTTATTCTTCACTGATAGACTGGCCAAGTTCAAATGATCAGGGGGGCAGTCTGTTAGCCCTGTGATAGACTGGCGACCTGTCCAGGGTGTACCCCGCCTCTCGCCCATTGTCAGGTGATGAACAAGTCCTCCTCCGACTGTTCCTATTATTACTTTGAACACCACTTATGTCTGAGTCTTTACCGTCTAGTCCTGATTTATTTGTCTGCTTTTAATTAGTTTTAATTATCCGGTTTTTATTTTGTAGCTTTTGGATTTCTGTACAATGATCTTGCCTGTTCTTTTATGTCGCTATCTGGCCGACGGCACCACTGGAAAAAAGAGGTCTGAAACCTCAGTGGGTTTTCTTTGGTAAAATATAGCAAAAACAAAAATAAATTAAAAAGATAAAGGATGTTGGTTCAACCAGTAAGAAACCAGTGCTGTGTCTTGTTCACGTGTTCACCTGCTCTGTGAAAGGGCTCGTTGGTGTTGAAGACTGTGGTGAAGAAGCCGAAGGGGAAAGCACCGATGCCAAAAGACATGTGAAAGCCAGTGTCCCCGAAGCCCTGGAACATCTGAGCTCAAACAGAAACCAACAAATATGTTTGAAAACACATTAAGACAATGATGTGATTTAAACGACTCTCTCTTAAGCCGACTCACCCCGCCTCTACTTTCTGGCTCTGTTCTTTGTCCCTGAGGCCGAGGTGGTGTTTTCAACCTGAACAACACCACAAACAGTTGGCAAAATGGCAACCACGACGCTAACACAAATCCAAACGTACACAAAGACACAACCAAGCAAGGCACCTGGGGTCCTCTTGGCTGGAGCTCCCTCTGCCGTACAGCGGGATGACCTTCTCTCTGCTGATTCCCGCCTTACAAACAGGACACTGCTGCTGATTGGGCCGTGTCTCCAACCACTGAGAAGAGCAGCAGAGGGAGAAAGATGCCCAAATGTTTCAAATACAGATCAGATCAAACCTTTTACACTGGGTTCCTGAAGCCTGCCAAACTTTACTGTCTAAATCCTGAGTTCAGTACCAAATAACAGCAACGCTACAGTGTTGAATGTTACAAAGACTCGCAGAGGAAATACTCACTTGATGGAGACAGGGCCAGCTGCAGAAACAGAGAAACAAAAAGATTAATCTGTGTTCTCACAATCGCTCCTTTCTCTTAAAATGTCAGCTGCTTGTTTCAGTAACAGCACCAATGTTTCCTGGGCTCATCTTATGTTAATGAATGTGTTTCAATTCCATCTCAGCGGAGAGACTTAAAGGCCGAGTGGTTTTGTAAGCGTGGAACTTGTCAGATTTTCCTGTGACTCTCCCACCTATGGAAGACCACCTGTTTCCCAACAAGGTGGCTGAGTAGAACTCATCCTTGCTCCCCACTGTTAGTATTAATTGGCTCGTCTCTCTCAACAGCAGCGTCCTGGGCGAGTGGCTGCCGGCCAGGCCCATATGCTGCTGCGTTGCATGCGCGCAGGATACAGGGTTAGTGAGACACTTCAGCAGTTGGCATAAGAACTGAGACGGCCAGTGACTCACAGATGAATATTTCTGTATCTTAGCCAAAAAAGGATTCAACTGTGCAAAGCTTTTTTTTCCCCGTATGTCAATAACAAGACTTTTAACCTGCCCTTTTTCTGAGCCTTCCAGTGAAGTCATTTCTCTCGCAGCCTGTTGCCGCCACCTCTAAACACAACATAGGTAAGTCTACCCAACTAGACTCTTAGTTAAGGACTGTAAAGATGTCACAAGCTCATTAACCTCCAAGTTTAAAGTGAGATTTGTCTTGTTCACACAAATCTTCCTGCCAGACTCTGCACAGTGCGCTACAAAGAACATTTCCACTGTAATTTTCTAACTAAAATCAGAAGAAGTTTAGATGACATATCCTAAACAACAGCGTCTACACAGGAGGAATCTGTTACTGTTTCTCTGTCACATTTCAATGCAATTAACATCTAGAGCAAGTTGAATAATAGTTAGCAATAGTTATAAGGCTAGAAATCTAGTGACAGCTTCAAAGCATTTCTGTTTACACAAGCCAGATATGACAATAATTCACACAGAAAATATGCAAGAGGCAGAGTGAAGAATTACTTCTGAACTCTGTTTTTCTATTTTCTAACAGAATCAACACTCAATGTAATTAAATTTGCAGGACTGCTGCAATTTTGACCTGTAGTTGCAGCAGGTGAACTGACATCAGCACCGTTCTTTCCTTGCTGACAGTTTCATCATCGTGGTTTCATCACATTACACAGAAGTTTGGGGAGGGATGCACAGGTAGCCTGGCAACAAAATAACATCAAACCCATTAACGCCAGAGCTTCGGTGCACAGTGAAGCAACTATGTCTAACTGTAAGATGAATCACAGAAAAAAATCCCCTTCTCTGATCAACCATTAAACAAATCCACAGAAAAACATAACTGCACAGTATTAAGATATGTCCCACTTCCTAATCAAATAAACTGGTTTAGGCCTCAGACACTGTGGTCTTATGCACTGTACTTGCTGGCTGGAGGGGACTTTATACCTGGAGACACATTCACTGTTGGTTAAGCTGCTATAACTCTCTCAGGGAGGCTAACGGAACAGCCGGCAGGAAAACTGCAACAAGGCTTAGTTGTGAGTTTAGTATAGATTTGCAGTTTGAGATTGTTTTCCTTGAATTTTCTCCTTGTAGATGACACAGAATGTAGTCACATTGACCCACTAACAAAATAACCGACTGTCCAGTTGTCGGCCACATCTTGGCACTTTGCGGCCTGATCAAGAAATGTAATGTTTATTTCAAAATAAAACAGTTTTGTGGTGTTGTTGGATTTCCCCACTGAGTCAGCACCCCCGTCACGGTTTACAAGCCTGTTTCTGTGCATACTCGTACAGACCACCGGCATTTAAAAGCACAATCATGCACCAACAATAGATGAAGAGAAACGCTATAATGACTTTTCCTGATTACAACGCCCTTCAGCTTGACTCTAATCCTACACCCTTGGCCCTAACCTCACATTAGCCCCCGCTTGTGAGTGAACACGGCCACGGCTCGTGAATTAGCCTGACACGCGTCACTGAGAGCGTGTCCATTTTCAACACAAAGCAGTTTGAAGGTTGAGCCTTGCATAAGTCGTAATTAAAACCAAGACGGAAGAAAGAACTGGAATGTGCAGCCTCGGCTTACAGCTAACAGCTACTTTCATTATTGATTAATCTGCTAAACTAATCACGTGTACTGACTGAGTAAGACATTTTACAGTTAAAAATACTTGTCAGTGCTCGCTGGTAGACAAACTACCCTCTTTCTAAAATCCTCAAACATATCTTTGGCAACTATTTCATTATGAATCTGCTGATTGTTTTGTTGGATAATAATGTTCTGTCATGTCAGAACACTGAGAACACTGTGAGAAATGCCCTTGGTGAAATCTTCAGAATTCTGTTCATCAGGCCAGCCATACAAAACCAAAAGATATTCACTTCACAGTGATATAAAATAGCAGGAAATCCCCACATGTGAGAAGCTGGAACCTGAGTGATTAGTGATTCTGCTTGAGCAATTTTTTAATACAACCAATCATTTAATCAACTCACTGTTTTAGCTCCACTGCAAACCTGATAGTGGACGTGGATAGTAAGGCTGTATTTGCTGCTGTGATTGATTGAGCACTGAGCTGATCTGAATGGCCCAAGCATGTGACAGAGAAGGGTGTGTGATCCCTGAAGCCACTGGTTGCAACTGTGACTTCTGACCTTTATCAAACAATCTGATCAGCCTGGGCCACTTAATTCCTCACAGGACAGGAGCAGATCATGTGGGATTTGCAAATATGGTTATACACCATCACTGAAGTCCACCCACATTTTATCACTACTGCAAACAGCCTCTTCAGTGAAACAAATGGAGCCGTCTTGGCTGCTGTCATATCAGAGGTCAGCAGGTAGGTGAAACCATGTAGTCTGGCAGGGTTCCATCTAATTGCTTCCATTTTTTAGATGCAAACTGTATAAGACTTCAGCCCATTGCCTGTCACTGTCCTAGCCTACATAATGCCGAGACAACCGCCGGATATAAAGATGTTCGCTGGGCGTGATTCAGCCGTCATAACAAGTCAAACTGACGGTAAACAAGGGCCGCACACAAGGCGGAACTGCACTCCCGTCCAGCGGACGGACATAAACAAAAACATCCACCTCCCCACTGCAGACTCCCCCCCTCCTCCCCGTCTTGTCTCGTACCAGAACAAGTGGCCGCACATACTGATGACAGCGTCCCTGGCAGTGTCCAGACAAATGTTGCACTCGAAGGTGGCCCGGTCCCGGTACAGGTCCCGCTCGCCCTCCCCGTTGCCGCCGCTACTGCTGCCACCCGGTGCATCGCGGTTGTTG